ATCCCTCGCACCGCGCTGCACCACCTTCGCACGTAGCAGCAGCAGCAGCAGCAGCAGCAGCAGCAGCAGCACAGCGCAGCACGGCACGGCCCACATATCGATCGGCTCGGCTTTGCGCACACCAAGGCAGTGCTGCTAGACCCGCGAGTCAAGCGCCGGTGAGCCCGCGATCACCAGATCAGCGCTCCAGTGTTGCCTAGCAGAGCTTCACCCAAGCTGGACAGTGCCAACAGTCACCCTGCGCATACACTCAGCGCTTCGACAATGTCGAGACCAAGCGCCAGCAAGGGAACAAGGAGCCAGCAAGGGGCTTTGCTCTTCCTCTGCGTCCTTGCAGCCATTCTTGCCTTCTCGAGCTCCCCTTCCCAGGCGTCCGACAATGCTTCAGCAGTCAGCTTTGCCGCCATACACAGACGGGCGACGATTGGTGGAGCACCAGCTTACGACTTGCCGATGCCTAGGTCGTACGATACGCATCACTATTATGCAGTGCAGATCAAGAGGACGCACTCGAATCACGTGGACATCAGGGATGTGTCCGAAGCGCTTGGCGTGGAGTTCGTCGAAAGGGTTGGAGAGTTGAAAGATCATTGGCTTGTACGCGCAGAAAAGCCTCTAGACCCCTCATCCCTCACACTGGCTGCTCGTGATACAGATCCCCGCTCTTCTGGAGAAGTCAAGATCAAACGCCGGGACTGGAGCGAAGACGAAGATCCTGTCATTTCACGATGGCGATCATACAAGCGCTCGCCTCGCCAAAACAGTGCTATCCTCTCCAAACGAGAAGCCCATCTCTTGGGATCTATCGTCGACGTGGAGCGGCAGGTGCTCAAGAAGCGTCATAAGCGGGATAAGATTATCAGTCCATGGGACACACCGGAACACTACCCCGAAGTGCGCGCACCGATTCCCGGTCCTGAACCCCAGCCTTATCCGGATCCCATGCCCCTGCCAATTCCAGACGGCAGCAACCTCAAGTCTACTCGCATGCGCCAACAATTCAACATCGCTGACCCCATCTTTACGGACCAATGGCATCTGACGAACGACAAGCGAGACTCTAATGATCTCAATGTCACTGGAATTTGGGCACAAGGCATTCACGGCAAGGGCTCGAATGTGTGCTTGATCGATGATGGACTCGACTTCAACAGTCCAGACCTCAAGGATAATTTCGTAAGTCAGGGCTTGGAGCTGGTTGAGAGCTCCCGCGCACAAAAATAATAGTGCAGCAGACTTTTAGGCGCCTGCCACACGCGCTAGAGACTGGGTCTCAAGGGTTGCTGCGAAGTGCTGATCAAGACGACAGGTGGCTTACCACGAGGTGCTATCCTACCCTCGCAGTTTGAAGCCGGATCGTATGACTTCAACACGCATACCCCCTTGCCGAAGCCTTTGCACTCGGACGACCAACATGGAACGCGCTGCGCAGGAGAAATCGCTGCAATTAAGAATGACGCTTGCGGCGTCGGTGTTGCGTGGGATGCAAAGGTTGCCGGCGTTCGCATTCTGTCTGGACCTATCTCTGATGTGGATGAAGCTGCAGCATTGAATTATCGCTACCAAGAAAATCAGATCTACAGCTGCAGTTGGGGACCGCCCGATGATGGCCGAGCCATGGACGCCCCAAGGGGACTGATCGCCAAAGCTGTCCTGAATGGTATTCAAAACGGCAGAGGTGGCAAAGGCAGCATTTTTGTCTTTGCCGGAGGAAACGGAGGTGCCTCAGATGATCAATGCAACTTTGATGGATACACAAATTCGATCTACACCATGACGATTGCCGCGGTGGACCGCGAGAATCAGCATCCTTACTACAGCGAGATGTGTGCGTCAAACATCGCAACTGGTTGGAGCAGTGGCAGCGGCGACCACATTCACACTACAGATGTTGCTTGGAACGGGGTCAATCGTTGCACGACTCATCACGGAGGAACCTCTGCTGCAGCGCCTCTAGTTGCCGGTGTCATCGCGCTCGCGCTCCAAGTCCGTCCAGAGCTGACTTGGCGTGACATGCAGCACATTGCTGTTCACTCTGCCCAAATGGTCAACCCCGACGACAAGGATTGGCAAGTCACTCAAGCCGGTCGCCACTACAACCACAAGTATGGCTATGGTATCATCGATGCGTTCAAGTTTGTCGAGGAAGCCAAGACTCATACATTGGTCAAGCCTCAGGCTTGGGCTGAGTCTCCAAACGTTACGCTGGCACGTGACAACACCCTCATCACTGGAGATGGTACTCACAGCACGTTCACAGTGACCAAGGAATTCCTGGAGAAGAACAATGTGGACACTCTGGAGCATGTAACTATCCGAGTTTGGATATCTCACGAGCGCCGCGGAGACGTCGACGTGGAATTGGTTTCTCCGCACGGCACCAAGTCAGTACTCGCACGTCCTCGCAGATACGACGACGCCACGACAGGATTCCCTGGCTGGGGTTTCATGACATTGAAGCATTGGGACGAAGATCCGATCGGAGACTGGACAATGACTGTTTACGACAGGGCACACCCTAAGCAGACTGGAAATTTCTGGGCCTGGACCATCACCTTGTGGGGTCAAGTCATCGATCCCGCAAAGGCCAAGGCTTGGAACTTCCCCGAAGACAGTATCGAATTCCACGAGACCCTGGAAGCTGCCCCCACCACGACCACTGTGTACCAGCCGGGAGGAGCTGCCAGTCAGCGTCCCAAGCCTACGGACCACTTGCCGCCTGACCATGGCTCCCGACCGGGCGAGAGCGACCATGACTTTACCAACAGCGGACCAGGCCAGGTGCGTGGCGCCGCGAGCAGATGCACACAAGAAGCTTAATCGCTGACCACCCACTATTCCTCCTCACACAGAGCTCTCCTGAGGCCGACACCGGCTACTTGGCAGGTCTCAAGAATCGCAGCAGTTGGCTGTTCATTGCTGGGGGCGTGGTACTGATCTTTGCAGGCTCTCTTGCTGCCTTCTTCATCATTCGACGCCGTCGTCAGCGCCGCTTTGGACCTGACGCAGCCGCAGCATACGAATTTGTGCCCGGAGAAGAGGACGAAGAGATGGCGATGAGTGCGATGGGAGGATCTGCAGGTGCGACTGGTGGAAGAGGGGGTCGACGTGCGCGCGCGAAGGAGCTGTACGATGCGTTCGGAGAGGCTACGGATGATGAGGACGAAGGCGAAGAGGATGCTTTGGTCAAACGAGGAGCCAGGCCCGGTCAGTATAAGGACGAGCCCGACACCCCAACGGTTCGGGAACATAAGGAGGGAGAAGAAGATTCGAGATTCGCAATCTCCGATGAAACCCAGACTCCGCTCACAGCCGAAACGCCAGCTCGAGGTCGAGGCCAAGCCACTTCTCCAGCACCTGTACTTCGAAGCCAAGAGATGGACAAGGGCAGGAGCGAGCAGTTGCTTTTCGATGCGGAAGATGACGATGAAGAGCGTGGCGAAGAGGGTAGCGGTGGAAGTGGAGGAAGCTGGCAGGATGCATCCCGACCTTGAGCGGGCTAGGGATGTCAAGACGTCATTTGCGCTCCTCCGTATGAACGCTTGGGATGCTCGCTTTTGCGATCACGCGTATGACCTCTGTCGTCCAGTCGCAGACTCAAATATAGTCGATGCAGGGCGGCGCTAGACGGCCTCCAGATGCTGCAGAGATGCATTGCCAATTGCAGCCCTCAAAACGCTTTATGTGAATATGTATCTGCTAGGAGCTTGCCTGACTAAGAAACAGATTGATGCAAACCGAGACACGAGACGTGTGAAAGGGAGGCGGAAAATTCCAGTATGTAAAGTCTTGGCAAAAAGTGAGGCGGAAAGTGGCTGGACGATCCGCTCTCATGGTATAGCCGCAGAGCCGCGGGCTGCTCTTTCACCAGTCGCTGGATCTAGCGATGAGCGTCGCGATCCTTTCCAAGCCCTTCTGGTCCTCCTCGTCGAATCCGTCCAATTCTTCGCAGTCGATGTCCAGCACGCCGATGATGATATCGTCGTCACTTTTTGTGTTCACTCTAGACGCTCCCCACTGATCCGCCCTGTCCTCCAAAGAGTGGCCAGAGAGGGCTGAACGGGGAATAACGAGGGGCAGAACTATTTCTGATTTGGATGCGCTGTCACAGGCGATATGACCCGCTAAGATGAATGGGTCGCGTACAGAATCAAGTCAGCCATATGAGCTGAGCTAGAGGCCGAGGTTGCATGCGGTATCCCTCTGAGAGCAACTCACGATAAGCGTCAGTGTCTTGTACCCTGACTGTCCGAGGAGGCAAGATGGCGCTAGCATCTGCACACACACCTTTGCCAGCGATGCTAGGGATGGCTTGACAAGCTGGCAGACCGACAAAAGGACCAAGTAGCAGCGTAGGTCTCTTTTGCGTGGCCGCGCCAGGTATCAAGGGCGAGAGGAGGTAAAAGCCGGCCCAATTGATTTTCTTGGGCGCAAAGTTTCCATGGCCGTTGCTGCTGGCGCTGTTGCCATTACTGCTGCCATTGACGTGCACCGATTGAGATTTGGGAGAGGACTTCCAGGCATTTAGACTGAAATAGATGAGCGATGAGGCGTTTGAAAGATTGGACACCCAAGCTCTTTGATCTGATAATAAACCTTCAAGCTGTTCTTCCAAATGAGCGTAGAATTGTGCACTGCTCTGGATAGAGTCTGGCAGCAGGGCAGCATCGGCGCTGTAGAGAATGTAGAGCGAGTGAGGGAGGACTCGCCTGATCTTTTTGGAAGGCTTCACTCACTGCACCATTTCTAGCCAATACTCGAGAGGCAATCTAGAAAGTGCTCCAACTGAGTCTTTCCTATTTTCTACTCAACGCGCGGCCCTTCCAGTAAGCCAGCAGGAATCTTGACTTCACAGATG